ATGGCTTTGCATCTTTCAGTTTTACTAACCCTGCTATTGGGCACTTCCCATGAATTTTTTCAACCTCTTACAGTGTCTAATTGAAAAGTTAGGATCAAAATAGTAAGAAAATGAGTCACGAATTTGCCCCCTGGGGTACACACTTTGTACTAATATTCAATTTCTTTAGGAGCAATCAGCATCAATTATACTGCAAGTAATTCATATATATAATATCTATGTATGTCACTTACAAACATCAAAATATCTAAGGTTATTTACTGTGAACAATTTTTTTCCCCGGGTGGGGTGTTTTTGGGGGGTGGGGGGCTAACTCCTCAAAAAAAAGAACTTCCTACCACTCTGTGAAGCTATCACCTAGGTGGAAGTTTCATCCAAGACTCTCCCCTAACTGAAAATGCTGCCAAACCAACTATACACCATTTATTGAGAATTTTCCTCCTCGCCCCTTGAGTATAACCACTAATGCTTATTTTTATTTTTTAGTGACAAGGGGTCTAGGTCCCAATAGAAGATGTCATATTTGACACTATATGTAACATTTACTTTCACCTTTATTATTAGGTTGATGACACCACTGGGCGTATGACTGGCCAATACAAGACCTATGCTATCTGTGGAGCTATCAGGCGCATGGGCGAATCAGATGACTGCATTGTCAGGCTTGCAAAAAAAGATGGCGTTATAGCTAAGTAAGTTCTAATAAAGTACAGCACTACTATGGATTGGGATCAAGTAAAGCCCTCCATCCTTCCATTTGGACATCCAGAAAAAATTTTGTTTTTCATGTTCCTTAATGTTATTTTATTTATTGATAACGAGATCTGCCATTCCTCATCCATCCAAATATGTTTTTGATGATTGTTTTAGCCTCAAAACTGTCTCTTAATGTTTCATAAATACAGTCATACAAGGGTCAAAGGCAAAAATATAGGCTAAAAAACATCATCTGTAATTGAGTATTTATCATTTACTGAAGTATCTTGTTGAAACATGACAATATTTCCTATCATATGTTTTTCAAAGTAATGAATCAGTTGCAGACATTTGGTTGTTACCAGGGTGTGGTGATAAGGATTTTAGACATACTGGTCAAAGATGAGCTATATGGACCAATTGCAGTATAATCTTCCTATAAAAGCTCAATAAAAGTAAGGTGGTCAAGACCACAAGAAACTGGTCAGGATGGTCCTTTGCTTATTTCACACCCTGGTTCTAAATTGAGGATGCTAATCCCTTGAGTATATTTTTAAGTAATCTTTTCTAATAATTATTAGAATTAGCATTTATGTCATATTTAACTATATATTTGTAAATATAAGTTAATGACAAATATTACACCTAATGAAATAACATCATAACTTTTATTTCTGTAAGTATTTCAGTTGTGAATGTTAATGTTTAAGTTGTGATCTTGTCAAAGATAGAATAAATCATGCTGATCGATGTTCAGTATATGTATTTTATGAGAATGAGGTTTTATATGCTGTAGTGACATCAGCTCTGGTTGATTCAATGTCACAGCAATGTCAGGAATGTCATATAATCTTATGATTCCCTCATTCAAGGTGTTTCCTTCCTCTTTCTATTAGTAATACAGTAGACTGCCTCTAAATATTCATTTTCTGTTCTTAATCTGCTAGACAGCCATCAATCGGCCAATTTAGTTACTATTAACTTACCAAGCGTTACTATAAACATCCATTTTGACATTAGTGGCATTGATTGTTTGATTAATCATCAATTTAGCAAATGGATATACTGGTGATAAAGAATATTATCTGTTATAGAAATGCCTTTCAATATTAATATGTTGAATTGCAAATCAAATCTAAACTGACACTTTTGATTTCAGGAACTACTGATGACAGTGCATTACCACCTGACAGCTAGCCATATGATGTCTTGATATTTGATGTAAATAATAGACAGTAATAAAAGGCCATGCAGTTAATATAATACTTCAATTATTACGTTCATGTTATGTATTTATTGGAATAGAGATTGAAGAAGACCAACCACTTTATTAAGTACATATTGATATATTATCTGAGGGTATTATTAACCTTAATTATTACTATCTACAAGGAACAATATCAAGACAAAAGTCTGAAATGTTCATGTATACTAACTACGAAGAAACCCAAAAAATAACTTTGTGAAGAAAAAATAAGAATAACTTAATGACAAGGCTAATGGAAAATGGAAGAGTCCAATTGATGTTAGTTATCAAATAAGATGATGTTTCATTATCATTTTGCTCCTGGGATTGACCTCGGTTATAGGCCTACTAGTTCAGAAAATGGACCAAACTGGACCTGGGCAAAAAAGGGGAAGGAGGGAGTCAGTCAAAATAATCTTAAAAAATCACTCTGTTCCCTTACTGAGTGGGGTTACAAAGAAAACAGAATCGATATATGTTTTACAGAGTCTTGAATAATTATCCCACCAAACGAAGTATAATAGGGTCGGATACAGAAAATCCATCCGTTTGTTTGTGTGTGGTCAATAAATCAAATACCAGATTTTGTTCAAATTTTATACGCTTATGGGCATGGGACCTCTGCTGGAGAAGGAATTTTGGATTTGACCACATACAAAAAGGTCACCAAAAATTTAATCTTATATATATAAAATACCAGTTGACGAATTTGGCTCAAATTTTTATATGCTGATGTCTCGTACACATAGGAGCTTTCAAGAAGGAATTTTCAAAACGATTGGAGCTGAATTTCAAAAACCCACCTTGTTAATAAAAGGATGAGTCGGGGAATGGGTCCGGAGGACTTAGAAAATATTCAAAATTGTAACACCCATCCGTTTTTGTAAAACGCCTTACCCGGGTTTTACTATTTGCCTTAAACGAAATAAGACGTCTTACGAATGCTTTTGGACCACCTCAAAAATACAGAAAATGATGGATTGGACCAAATGCAGTAGGTCATCAAATTGAAAAATTGAAAGTAAGTTGACATCACTTGCAAAAGTCTCGGCTACGTTTTCTCTTGGATTTTAAAAGAATACATTTATTGTAGTTGTACACATCTGCTGGATATTCTCCATATCTACGTGCATACATCATTTGGTGGAATTACACCTGTAAAAGCGCTTCATTGGAAAGCGCCATCCTGATTACACCAACATTTCTAAAGCGCCTTAGGAATTTTATTTTGAAATTACACCTGTCATTTCTAAAACGCCTTTCGTGCACTTTTAACGATGTAGATATGGAGAATATCCAGCAGATGTGTACATCCACAATAAATGTATTCTTTTAGCAAGAGAAAACGTAACCAAGACTTTTGCCAGTGATGTGAACTTACTTTCAATTTTTGCGAAATAAATTTGATGACCTATTGCATTTTTGGGTCCCATCCATCATTTCCTTTATTTTTGCGGTGGCCCAAATGTGTAGCATTCGAAATACGTCTTATTTCGTTTAGGGCCAAATGGTAAAAGCCCGGGTTAGGCGTTTTACAAAAACAGATCGGTATTTCACGCACTCCAAAAGCGCCTAACGATTTAAGGCGTTTTCTTGTGACTAGGGTTCTAGTTTGTAAATCCGCAATCGTGATTACACCTTCTTTTCAAACCGGGTTAAAACCGGAGAGGCGAAATGACAGGTACTCCCAAATAATATTTTTTAAGGCGCTTTAGAAATGTTGGCGTAATCAGGATGGCGATTTTGTAAGCGCTTTCCACTAAAGCGATTTTAGCGTTTTTTCTGGTGTAATTTCAGCAATTGTGACATATACTGTACACGGATCATGAACGATATGTTCGTGCGATTTGCTACTCCGTGAGGTTACTGATTCAGATTTGCCAACCTCCCGTTTTTTTACGGGAATCTCCCGTAAATTTTTTGTTTTTCCGTAAAAATACCAACTCCCGTACCGTTTTCTCCCGTAAAAACTCCCGTACCGTATTTCTACTAAAATCTCCCGTTATTTTTTTGAAAAATATGGCCGTAAAATCTCCCGTATTTTTGCTGAAATCTCCCGTAAAATCTCCCGTATTCTGGTATAGCTTAACTCCAAGAAGGATTGGCTCCCATGGTTCACTATCGATATTTTCATAAATAAATTAAAAGTACTTCATTCCCATGATTCAAATTGCTTTTCTGCAATTAGTTTGGTATAAGTTTGGTATAAGTGTGGATTTAATACCGTAAAAACTCCAGTTTTTTCAAAATTTACCGTAAAAACTCCAGTTTTTTCAGAAATCTACCTCAAAAATTCACGTTTTTTCAAAATATACCGTAAAAACACCCGTTTTTTCAGAAACCTACCTCAAGAACTCCCGTTTTTTCCGAAATCTGCCGTAAAAGCTCCCGTTCTTTCAAAATCTACCCTAAAAACCCCCGTTTTTCAAAATCTAAAGTAAAAACTCCCGTTTTTTAAGAAATCTACCGTAAAAACTCCCGTGTTTTCAAAAATCTACTGTAAAAACTCCCGTTTTTCAGATATCTACCGTAAAAACTCCCGTTTTTTCAGAAATCTACCGCAAAAACTCCCGTTTTTTTAAAACCTACCGTAAAAACTCCCGTTTTTTCAGAACCTACCGCAAAAACTCCAGTTTTTTCTGAAATTTTCCGTAAAAAAAGTCTTTTTATAAAGTTTACCGCGAAAAATACATTTTTTTAAAAATCTCCCGTAAAAACTCCCGTCTTTTCAAAATCTCCCGTAAAAACTCCCGTTTTTTCAAAATTTACCGCAAAAACTCCAGTTTTTTTCAAAATTCTCCCGTAAAAACTCCCGCTTTTTTCAAGAAACTGCCGCAAAACAAACGAATTTTGAAAAAAACTCCCGTAAAAGTACCGCAATTTTTTTAAATCTCTCGAAAAATTTTCGTTTTATTTTAGATTGGCAAGTCTGCTGATTTCTAGTCTGTAAATATAAAAGACCATCCACAGCTGTGACATTTGATATCTACACAATCATTCGCAAGCAAATAATCAATTCATACTGTAAAATGCTTTTAGTTCAACTCAATGTAAAATTAATTGAACATCCCAAGTCTGTCTAGGCGTTAATGCTAAATGTTTTGTTATTTGCTCATTTGAAGAGAAATCAGAGCATCCGGGATTATATTTTTCATGAAAGCAATCATTTTCTGGTATGTAATAGGTAAGTTCTTCAATTCCTTAGAATGATGAAGATATTATTAGTGTGTCGTCAGATACTATTTTTGAAATATTAATCTGTTAATAGGTATAAAATTACAATTTATTGCACAAAAATCTCTGTCAATAACATAGTTTAATATGATTGTTCCAACGAACATATGTGCATTTCATAAAGTGGTGACATATATCAGGTTGGGTTATATAGGCCTACCACGCATGATGGGTAAGCAAAACCAATCAAAAGTGATGATCATTCATATACTGCTCATAAATATTACTATACCCTTTGTGTCTTTGTATCCATGTTTCCTCATTGTAAACAACCATATATATTATACCTTTATTCTATGTATGCATGTTTCTTTATTGTAAATGACCAATACTCCAGAAAGAGATACAATAAAGAACAATAAAGTACTATCTTATCTTATCTATTCATACAAAGTGTTCCTTTATTATTTCCAAGTAGAATATGTGTTAATGCATCACAAATAGCAACATTGAGTATCATAAATGGAAGTAACCCTCAATGAAGATGGGGATTAACTCCAGAGTTCAAAGATATATATATTTATAATATAAACCTGTATTGAGATGACATACACCTCTGATTGGTCCAAATCGATAAACAAAAATGGCGGATTCATAATTTTCTAATAACGCTTCGAATGATATTATGTTGATTCCTGGCGTATTAACCAATATCATAGCTTGGTTTTTCACATCAAAATAAATAAATATGTTAGGAATATGTTAACATCGATTAAGACATCACGACGACGCGCTATGTTCGAAAATTAACTGGTGAGAATTTGTGCAAACGAGGTGGTACGCAAGAGACGTATTATGTCAGTCATCGCCAAAGCTCTGGGGCTTTCCCTCCTCTTCCTCAATGCTTGGGGAAACCATGTTTTGTTCCCGAGGTTGGAATTGGCTACACTGAGTTTCCATGATTTCCTGTCAATTTTCATAAAATGCTTCTCAATAACTTTTTAACGTGTTTTAGGCGTTGGGATAATTTCCTGCAAATGTCCACCACGTCAGATTGCAACATGCTCCCAACCAACTGGCATTGAATATGGATCTGCTTTTTATCGTACATTGGAGGTTGGATCTGTTGTCAGGTTCAGATGTGATCCCCTCTATGAACTCATAGGGCAAGATAAACAAATCTGTGGAAAAGACTGTACATGGGTCGGACCTCAACCAGAATGTAAAGGTATTAATTTTCTCATGAAAAGTTCTCCCTTTGAGTATCATTTTTAAACTATATTCACACATGGCTAGGCAAAGTATGTCAAATTCCAGCCAGTCAGAACACAGTATTTCAAAAAATGTGGATCTTGAAATTACAACTGTTATTTTTAGATTTAGTGAAATTAATTATCCTCTCATAATTTCAACTTGGCATTTAAGTAATGACCGATAGTATTAATAGGGAATAGCAAGGCATGTGCTAATGTAGGTAAAATGATTAGAGTCGGACCTAGTTTTGACCATTTTAGTCTTCATAGCACTTGCAATAAAGTTTCCTTGTAAATAAATTATTTTTTTCAAGTGATACTGAACAAAATCTTATGCAATATGTGAAATGAATTAAAGCACATGACTTAGAATGAATTGTGGATGATTTACCACTCGGTGCTTGTTTCTTAGACTTTGAATTCGCACTCATTCAAAGGTCTGGAAACAAGACATATGTTGTAAAATCATCCTACAAACCATATGCAGCAGACGAAATTTTGGGTGCTGCATCAATAAACCGATCGTGCCGATTTAACGGTCATTTTTGAATTTAAAGGGATATTTCTGAAACTACATGTAAGCCATTTTGGCTCGAATATATCCATATGTGTGAAGTCGGCACCTCGTGTCAATAAAGTTGTGAAAATAGTGATGATAGTGACTCTCACATCACAAACTATCATAGTATCAGCGAAGGATAAATTTTTTTTTATGTTTATTGAGCTTTTCCGTACCAAATATTTAGAAGGGAGCTCATTTGGGATAAACATTTCCGAATTTTTATAAAATCACACAGAAACTCTCTGGTTTCCAAGATGCAAACATAATTTGTATGGATAATGTATCATGAACACCATGTTTTATGAATGCTGCGGACGCTGTATAAAAACGACAATTTTAAAATATACGAGTTTAGGTCTGGGAAAGGTTTAATGGGAATGTTGAAGCTATTCAGAAACTGAAAGGGAGCTTTACAGGGAAAGTGAATGTCCGATTTAAGGATTGTCATAAGGGTCCAGAAAAAAACAATTTATTTCAAAATTTTGTTTCAGAATTTTTTTGTGTGTACTATGAGAACTATGTCACGCCCTGTGATCGTACAAAAATGATGGAGGGGGATCAGGCGATTTCTGCAAGAAAACTCAACAAATTTGGAAGATTTATTTTTTCAAGAGAAAGCCCCCAAGATATTCAGAAAAAATTGTACAGGATATAAAATGACTTTTTCAAGGAAAATCACTTTTTTCACATCATTATTGTCACTGTTTCTATTTATTATCAAAATAATCATTATTTTCAGTCATTTGAGACTTTTTAATTGATCTTCTTGGTATTATTTTACATAATAGTGACAAAACATAATTACCCTTTGCATTCGTTTGACTTCACTTCTTAAAAGAGAGCTTCGTAGTTTAACTAGACTCTACACGCAGGGTAAAACATAATGGGCAACATTCGAAAAAATATAAAATATAACAAGTCAAAAAGGCAAACAAAATATTGAATAGTGATCATCTTTATACTTCATTGAGATCAATTACTCAGATGCGAGTAGGTAGTTACTAGTTTCACCACCAGGTGGCTGATTCGGGGGAATTAACATGGCATGGTATTACAAAATTCCCCTAAACTTGAATATGCATCAGTTTTAGTGGTTCACTTTTCATGTATTACCTTTATGTATCTGATAGTTATTACAAATTAAAATACGAGGGTTGTCCCCGAAGTAATGCACTATATGCTCTAACCTTATCGTATGTCCAGTAAAAGAAAATAGTTTCTACCCAGCACAAGAAAAGATATTTCACTTTTTGTGGTTTTACAACATGGGGTCTATGGGGAATCTCCCCGACCTAGAAGTCACATTTTCAAAGAAAATTAAATTTTCAAAGTTGATAAACTCTTTTCAAAACCACATTTCTAAATGTAATTTTACATGTAGATTCCAAATATGACATCAGTTTGACTGAATTTTTAATGACGTAAATCAAGATTATTTCTACTTGCATCTGGGATTTTGTCTACAAACAAGTTTGCAAAACTATGTCAAAAAAGAATATTGAGGTTTTTAATTTACATCACAATGAGAAAGAACAAGGGGCAACATTAAAAAACACATGAAGTAATTAACAATTCAAAAATGCATATCAATCAATTATATATTGATCTGCTTCCTTGAGATCAATTGCTCATATACAGTTTTTTTTAAAGTGGCAGTAAAATACTGAATATATTATTTCACATCACAGTGAGGAAGCACGAAGAGCAACATTTGGAAACACATAAAATATAACAATTTCTAAAAAGTTACTCGGGACTTTACATAACTGTTGATGAGCACATTCATGTGTTTGTTCATTATAATAAGAGATTCTATGAGCTATCATCATCTTTAATTGATTTTAAAATGTCAGACATATCTTTTGATTTTAAAATGTCAAACTATGTGCATTTCTTTTTGCTTTCATACCCCTTTTGCCTACAACCCTACTCCCAACTTGGCATGTAGAACACCATCCAGTGATTGCATCAATATAATTACATGCGTCTGGATCTGGGTTGTACTCCACCCATGTATAATGAGATTTAGAGAACACAAACCGATTGCTGGGCTTTTACACAAATTAGGCAATATGTTTCTTTTTTAACAATGATGGTATATTTCGCCTCTACTTGAAGATAGTCGTCTGTATATCGTTTAGATTGGTTGGCTTGATCTCATGAGAGTCCACTATGATTTAGATGTAACCCTCTGTCTCCGTACTGGGAGATTGCAGTTCACACATACAGTTCACTTTGCTTTTGGCATTTTATTAGCAAATGTTAATTTCCTGCTTACTGATTGTGACTTACGGTGTATTTCTTCTGCATAATAAATTTGAGCTGGATTTCTAAATATGAACATTGGTATGATCAGCCAGTGAACTGTGATAATATAAAAAATTATTCATTGACAAAAATGACGCCTGTCACATGAAGATAAAATGATTGTACAGCAATCATCTCATATGAATGTATTGAAAGGAATTGCATATTATTATGTTGCTTAGAGCCATGGTAAAGATATATGCTTCTCAAGAGGTCATGCTCCAGTGTAAGCATACATATAAGTTCATGAAAAGATCATATGAATAAAGAAAATATACTCAAATATATAAAACACAACTGTCACAATCATTCTAAGGATTTTCAAAATGGCTGACATCATTTTATTTCATGCTGAAAATTGCAGAAAAGTTCCATTTTTGCACAGCGCCTGTACATATCTCAAGAAGTACCTTAGAAGTACACTATTCCCTGACTACATATAACTTTCTAGGTAAGAACCAGGCGTTATATGAACAGAGCATGAGTTTATCATGACCTTCCTCTCTCTAAAAATAAGTAGGTCAACACAATTGCAAACATAACTAATCCCTACTCAATGACTATTGAAATATGACTATTTATGTGTACAGAATATTAATCCCATGGGTATATAGAGTGACATTATCAAACAATGGGACATCTGCCAAGTTGGGTTTATACATTCTGGAGACATTTTCTGAGACTGATAAAAAATTCACATTTTCACAGGAAGTGATACATACCTCCCAAATCAACCAAAATATACTTATATCAGTAATCTTGAATGCTTTTTATTGTTATTTCTTTAAAACATACATATTTATCTACAATTTGATTCTACATATCAAGGATGTTGATGACATTGCATTTTTCAAAAAATGTTAAGTGACCCCAGGGGTGTCTTATAGCCATTCGTTCTTTACAACTGAATTGCCAAATGAATAGGCGCAGTGCATGGCAAAATATGTTAGGTCATCTAGTATTTTTTTTTGAACTGATACCCTTCTAAGATGTGAGATCTATTAAAAAAGGCGCATCATCACCAACGTGCAAAAGTCAATGTTTTTGCTATAAATCGGGCAACAATGGTCTACACGACCTGTAATAAATAGGTATAAGGAACGTTATTATCACAATACTTATGACATTGCTCATTTTTTAAAGTTAGCTTCCATGCGTTATACAAAAAATAATCGAAGTAAATTAATTTGGGATGGAGGGGGGATCGGATGGAGGGGGGGGGGGGAATTTATATATCTTTACGATGGAACAAATTTACAAGAACTCGTGTATTTGAAAAAACTAAACTCATTACCCCAGTAAGAAACTGGATATTATGTCTCTGGAGAATGAAAAATGGGAAAATTTGGAGTCATACGAATAAATTCAAGTAGCACGTCTTATCATGTCTTATATATACGTGATCCCCCCCCCTCCATCCGATCCCCCTCCATCCCAAATTAATTTATTTCGATTATTTTTTGTATAACGCATGGAAACTAACTTTAAAAAGTGAGCAATGTCATTAGTATTGTGATAATAACGTCCCTTATACCTATTTATTACAGGTCATGTAGACCATTGTTGCACGAGATTAAGATTTTTGAACAATGCTCGATTTTTTTCGTAGTCAATCTACCCATAATTGGTCGGTTTGAAAATGTTGTGTATTTACACATTTCCTTTGATCATTTTCTCCCCTGTCGTATAAGAGTGTCGATTATTTTTAAAAAGCAAAAAGGATACTTGAGCATGTTCGTGAAAGATCACTTGTTACTCATAAAAACCTTAATGACTTTTGAAATGAAATCATTACATTCAATTACAGGGACAACGTACATTCGAGTTGACAACGCACATTTCTGATTTTTTTAAATTACAATAAATACTTGAATATTTATTAATTTCCACCCGTCCTAAATTGTGTATTATAGAGAAACATATTCTCATAAAAATAATCGACACTTTTAGGCAACAGGGGAAAAAATGATCCAAGGAAATGTGAAAAACCCAACATTTTCCAACCGATCAATTTTCGTGGGTAGATTGACTACGAAAAAAATCGAGTACTGTTCGAAAATCTTTTAACGTTATTCGAAAGTTAAATGTCTTTCTAAACGAATACACACGAAATTAAACATGAAATCTTTCAAGTATTCCCAAGATTAATTTTTTAAAACCTACATTACACCTGCATTATTGTCTTTGCTTCAAATCGGTTAAATAGTGACATCGTACATCTAAAGTGTACTACGGTATATTTTGTCACTTTACCTTGTCGATGGTTAGGCGTGATGGTAAGAGTTCTAGAGCTGATTAACTTTTCGATGGTCATCTTGGATTCTGTAGGCCATCTTGGAAGTTTTTAGATAAACCTTGACATCGTGATTCCAGGAGAACCACTTAACGGATTTACTTCAAATTTTAACACAATGTTATATGGTAAGACGTCGTAGATCTGATTAGATAAGTCTTGCCATCGCGATTCCATGAAAACCACTTACCGGATTCACTTCAAATTTTTACACATGTTACATGGTAAGAAGTTCTACAGCTGATTAACTTCTCGGTGGCCATCTTGCTTTCTGGGTCAACAAGCCCACACTGCTATGTTTTAGGCACGACATTGTTCACCCCGTGCCTTGTTTTGTTTTCAGAAAACATTCTGATAGATAATAATTTAATAATCTCGTCTTTCTTCAGGCGTATGATACTCTGGAAATGTTTTGTTCCAAATAATTACAATATCCGCTTTAGAAATTACTATTTACCCCAAGTGTTAATTTACATTATTGCATTTGAAACATAAAACAAATTATTCCCAATTTTTACACTAGCAACGATGTAATAAACTTGTATCACCTATGATGTTTGTCATCTATAGTGGCACTCAAGTGATCCATTAATACAAATTTAGATAATGAAAGTCGTGGAATTACGAGATTGTTAATGATTAATGATACCTTGCAGGAGAATGTATGGATGACGCAGCATGCTCCAGTTTCGGCAATTACTCCAAATGCATAAACAATCTCTGCCGTGAGTATAAACTTATGCTATATCTATATTAGGTCATTGAAGTTAGTAAACACACCTATTTTTATTTTTATTTAAAATACAGATATTAAGATTACCTCACAAGGCAACATGCTCAAAGATTACATATTAAAGGCCCCATGTAAAGTTTTAAATCATCCAAACATTGAGCAATTGTTTGAGACATTTTTCAAGTTGAATTTACAACTTGATTTTAGAAAAGAAACTAAATGTTTTGATCAAAGCTTCACAAGAGCCTGAACAGGATCTCTATATATTTCAATACACAAATCCTTTACGTATACATTTTCATCTACTAATGAAACTTGTCCTTTGAATAACAGCATGACCTTCATTTGTGTAACGTTGATAATGATATGTCATATCATGTTATGTTACATTTTACCTAGCCTTGTCCAAGTCGGTGTTTTTTTTACTTATCGGATCTTGAATTATTCGAGATCAAAATAAGTAAGAGACCGACTTGGGCAAGGCTACATTTACCACACAATACGGAAAAGTACATATTCTTTGCGTGCAGATAAAAATCATGTTGAATTGCAGGATGTTGGAATTAACCTTAGCAGTCCTTGATAATATCTCATGTTGTAACAGCCATAATTGTGTAATTTGTTTGGAGTTGTTCAAATGACCGTGTCACTGTGACTTAAGTGACTTAGCGACTTAATGAATATATAGATGACATCAAATGAGTGAAGAGGAAGGTCAACGAGATTCTTAAACTGCAAACTGTTTAATAACTGATTAACTGTGATAGAATACAAAGTGGATCATAGAATTGCTTTATATTATTCCAACTAGAGACATATAAAACATGTCTCTGTTCCACCGAACGAAGTCCGTCCGTCCGTCTATCCGGAAGCTAACTCGAACACTAGTGGACAGATTTTCTTCATATTTGGTGGGAAGATGCATATTGGTGAATAGTTTTACGCAACAAAAAATGTGCAAGATGGTCGCCGCCGCCACCGCCTTAAAAATGGCGGGAATTTTATGTCCTTAAATATCTTCAATCTATAGACTGGTGCCTTATCGGTTGGTACTAAACATTTGCTCGAAAATGGATTACCAATATGGCTGCTGAATACAAGATATATATTTCGTAAAAAATGTAATCCTAATAACTGAAATACTAGTTGATGGTTTTTTTTAAACTTTTATTTATTGACTCTAGGGAGACAGGAAAATTCAAGAACGCCACTGAATTCAATCCTGTTATCCGGTTCAGTTCAAGGCTAATGTCTTATTTTCCCAGTTCAAGGGAGATATAAGAAGTTGACCGTTCGTCCATCTGTCCGTCCATTCGTTCGTCCGGGCCATAACTCAAATACAAGTTGACGGATTTGATTCAAAATTTATAGGCTCATGCCGAAGTTATGGGTGTAGGACCTGTGCTTGAGAAGAAATTTTCGATATTGTCGCTCAATTCAAAATGGCCACCATATTTTAAAAAATGTAATCTTTGATAATTCGAATACTAGTTGACAGATTTGGTTCAAATTTTGTATGCCAAGGGACAAAAGAGCTTTGCTAAGAGATGTTCAAGATGTCTGAATTTCAAAATGGCTACCATTTTTCATAAAAAAACATAATCTTTGATAACTCAAATACCAGTTGACGGATTTGGTTCAAATTTTATATGCTGATACCTAGGGGAAAAGGAACTCTGGTCAAGAAGGCCGCTATAGTTATCAAAACGTTTTGTTCGGTGGGATTTGCTACTCTGTGGAGTATAATCGGGTAGGGTTTGATTAATGCCTTCATAGAACCTCTGTTTGAGAATAAATTTACAGGGTGAGCCAAAAAGGGTAACCGAAACAAATGTTAATAATTCCGTCATCCAGCATGTATTCTAAATCATATTTGGCACAACTAAACCTTGTTCCATGTTCTTTCATTCTACATTTATATAAGTTTCATTGGTCCCATGCTGGATGACTGGCTCACCATGTACTATCAAGTCACGGGTGTAGATTTTCAAAAAGGAGACAATCATTGCCTTGTGATATTTATTGTAATGACCTTTGATACCAACTCGCTACTACAGCCTCAGCTGTAGTGGCTAACCTATATGGCTCAGGGGAAGAGCGTCTGACTCGAGAGCGGAAAGTCCTGGTCCGATTCCCGTACGGGGCATTGAATTTAACACACTCTATTTCGAGTCTAGTATCTGGCTAGGTACACTACAGCTCCCCGACGGACATGCCCCAGGGTCGTTACACTATTATACAATATTCAAAATAGCGATTAGTGATTTGATAAAATACGTTTTGTATAGTGGAATTTGCTACTCGGTGGATTGTAATTGTTTTAATGATTTTTTACAAGTATATGTACATACATATATAGGTTGGTACAATATCCAAATGAAATGATCCAAATGAATGAGATATAGTGAAGCCCTCTGCCAGTCTGTCTGTCAGTCTGTTCGTCTGTTAGTCTCTCCGTCAGTCTGTCTGACTTTCAGCATGACCCTTAGGGGGCTATGTTTAGGGAAATTTTGAGATCTTTCTGAAATTAATTATACTCAAATGAAAAGGAAATAAGAGTAGATGCCAAATAAATATATTTCTGATTCTGAATCATGGTATTGTTTCTCAAATTCGTGCCTCAGAAAATTCAAAATGGTTGCCGAAAGCGGGAATTCGCTATCATGTAGAGATCTTTTCAAGAATATGGTACGATGCATTAGATCACAAATATTTTATGGTCTTGATGATTTGCAATTGTGCCGTGTTTTTCAGCCTGACCTTCGAAAGCCGTGTCTGAGGGGAGGGGATAGTGTGCAAATTCTTTTTAGATCTTTCTGAAGTATGATTTTATCATATTCAAATGAGAGGAATTTTAAAGTAGATTGCAAATATCGTATCTATTTTCAGATTCCTGCGTTGTACAATCAAAAATGGCTGCCTGTGTTTTTCGGGCTGGCCCAAAGAGGCCATGCACGGTGGTAGAAAAATAGATTTTCAGATTTCTCTGAAGTATGATTTTTATCTCACTAGTTCAAATGAAAAGTATTCCATCAAGAGCAGATTCCAATATTCAGTTCAAGCTAACGTATGGATGTATCATACTCGAACTGAAGATATTTTATTTTATCTGTATTTCAGAAATTCAAAAGTGTCGCCTCATACAAAAATTATCAATAATTAGAAGATCCCTTATTTATGGCTATATTATACTGAAATATATTCACGCGGTACTAACTTCGACCATTAATTTGAATTTTTGACCTACCGGATGTTTGAAAATCAAGGATTACGAATCTCGTACTGCACCGTCTTCCTTCAAACGTGTTCCATTCAAAGCATAACAAAAATCCCTTTCTGTTGGTACATTATTCTCTTAAACAGAGTCCCTACTTCCAGCGGCATTTTGGTCCCCAGCTGTAAGAAGGCCTTCTAACAGCTGGGGACCAAAACGCTGCTAGAACGAGGGACTCTTTACAGTAAAGTAATACACCGACAGAAAGGCAATTTTGTTTTGCTTTTAATGGTATAAGTTTGAAGAAAAACGGTGCAGTATGAGACTCGCAATCCTTGATTTTCGAGCATCTGGTAGGTCAAAAACGGTCGAAGTTAGGACCGCGTGATATTGTGACATATTTCAAATTCATGAATAATTTGTTCGTTGGTCCGAATATCTGGGTCAAGGTCACAGACTTGATACGATCTGAGTTGTTTGCAACAATATGTAATAATTCATACACTGTATATATACACTAGCTTTTCCTATAATTTCAGATAATGGTATAGTTCAGATTCAGCAGCAGGTCTTTGGATTGGATAGTAATGAATATTTTTGCTATGATCTTATTGGACACAGTGGTTCCATATATCAACTCATAAATCAGAAAGGTGTGAATATATTTTAAAATTTAATAAATAGTGAAGAATCAATAATTTCAGAGAAATGTGAACCCGAAATTGACACTATGAATGAAATAGTAGTGATAACATATACATAATGAAGAAAATCAATTTTTCCTTTAAGTCGAATATTATCCCACCCCAAAAGTTTCAGTGGAAAACAGATCTTGGTCCATCCGAACAATTCATAAAGGAATGATGTAATACACTATTGACACGATATTGTTCATATTTTATACTCACAGTAATAGAAATTCTAAAATAGTGATTTTCCAATTATTGTGTCATTTTTTCCAATGATTTTGTTGTTATATTTTTATAATGTTAAATGACACTTAAAGCATTTTGTCTCGAGTGGTTGCCAATGATAGGCTGGTGTTTTAATGACTTGCAAAGATGTCCCAAGAGATTTGCTAGATCTTGGGTTACCATTATCAGGGGACAGAAACGCGTCCAGTATTTTCGTCCGGTACAACCGGAAATTCTTGACGCAGACCTCCATTTTTGATCTAGTTTTTCTGTAATGTGGGGTTAAGCACGGAAATATTTTGATTTTTTACGAAATACACGAATCAATCGAGTTATATTTCTTTTTATTTACCCTTTAATAGACAATATATGCCATTTTCTTGTGTCTGAAATAAAAATACACCATCCAGTTCTTCAATATACTGGGAATCTGATGAGCCTGCTGCTAAGTAATGAAACACTGTAAAACTGTAAACGCCTGTTGTAAAGTAATACCTTGGTCACATTTGCAGCGATTCATCGGCCGGCGCCCGGGCGATTGAGTATTTTTTTCCAAACTGAATACAATTTTGAACAAAACACTCAATTGGCCGGGCGCCGGCCGATGAATCGGAGCAAGTGTGACCCAGGCATTATGAAACACTGTAAAACTATCACAGAATTAAAAGTACACCTACCTCTCTCTCGATCAAAAATGGAGGTCTGCGTCAAGTATTTCCGGTTGTACCGGACGAAAATACTGGACGCGTTTCTGTCCCCTGATTATGTTGTTTAGTTACTGTATATCTGTAAACAATGACGTTAACCTAAAATATATTTTAATGAATTTATTAACATTTGAAAGCAATGATTATTATTATATTGTTGCAATTGATTTCTAGCGTTTGAATATCATAATATCATGTTTCTTTCAAGTTTCTAAAGAATGTGATCATAAATCGGCTAAATCTGACCTTAGATTTGAGATTTGACCTTTAGTTGACATTCAGTGACCTTTGAAGAGTCAAAAAGTTGGTTTTTAGATTAATTTTTTAGATTTAAAAGGTCAGCTTAATTACAAACGACCTACCTAGGTCTGAACGTTTTTTTAGTTCAAGGTCATTGAACAAGGTCACAATAGTGACAAACGATGTTATCAAAGTTTTTCAAAATCCAAGACAACAAAACAAATTTTCACAGATGCAAGAGTAGACTATTACATTTTGGGTATGCTGGGTAAATTACATGATGATTATTTGCTCTTCTGTTAGATAGTGTGAACATATGGCCTTAAAGTAAATGTGACCTTAAGTTTTTTGTAGTATAAGAGAATTGAAAATCCCATAAAGAGATCTAGACCCACTCATTTCGCAATTTGTGTTCAAGTAGAACCCTTTTAGCATCAACTTAAATATCGACGCTCTAACCAAGATCATCTTCAATTGAAGAATCAATGACTACTAAGAATTTGCATCTGTTAATAGTATCTAGAGTGTTTGACGCATGCACAAAACAATATGTTAGAATTACAATGAAACTAACTTTTTTAAGAGTTTGTGAATAATTTTCAGTTATAGTCTATGGATGAACAATTGGTTGAGGCACAAATCGATCATTTTTCTGAAAATATTTGTGTGGAATCATATATTCTCTATTGAAAAATATAAAATTGTACAAAAATGGCTTTTTCTAGCAAACAATTCATAAAAGAATGGAGTAAAAGTCTGAAATGCACATCCTTTACATAAAAAGCAATAAATATACACAAAAATGGGTGGTAATTTTGCCAAGTGCGTCACAAATGTCTAATAGTAGAAAGTGTAGTGGGTGAATTCGAATAAGTGTTATTCAGTTAGTTAGTTAATATATGTAATACCGAATTATTGATTCTCTAATTGGTTGTGTTCATCACGTCATCAATTCCATTCTCTCAGGCCATGGCATCTCAGAAATTACCTAACACTTCCAGTTGTCCCTTATGCATCAGCTGACTCATATTATTATCCCAATTATCGATTGGATTTCTCTGGAATGTAGATAAACTGTCCATCTGTCCACCAAACACCAGAAGATTGGTTTTCTTTACATAAACTCTAAATGAAAATGATTTATAAATATTGCAAAAATCTTTTCAATGAGGTGCGGCCACATTTTGATATATATTGGTGATGTTAATTTCTGGCTGATTCTTAGTTGGGTCATGAATTTATTGAAATGCTGAACATTTATTTCTTAAAATAATTTAACGTTTTAATGATTCAGGTGCTTCAGAGATATTTTGTTTCACATTTGTGCTATAAGAACCATAAATGTTTAATAATGACCATTTCAGGTAGCTTGTTGTTCAATGGGATATACTACTCGCTAACGTTGTAGTTTTCAAGTTGTATCCGATTGTAGTACTAAATGATTTTGTAAGATGATATTCCATTCTACATGGGGAATTGGCGTGACAATACGAGCTAAAAATTTGACATTCTAACCTATTATGTCTGGAGTTGGAACTGTCTGTGGCTTTTTATTTCTTGGCGTTTAGGATTGCATATTGACATCGGAATCCTTTTGACATTTTATTCCAGATGATAAGAACTGGTACATAGATTTCAAAATATACGTGTTGCAAAACAAATTATCCATTTCTGCATCTTAATACCATACAAGTAAGGTATAACATCCCATCGAACAAAGTAAATGGGAGTGGGGGGGGGGGCAAAAACAATACCCAAATTGAAATTTGAAATGATAATATATTTATTTCTTATGATGATATGTATAAGAAATATTGAGTACTATAATTTAATCCCCCATAAATGATGTATCGGTCTATTTGTGAGGTAGGGTTCATTTCTAATAAAAAAAGATCTGATGAATGGCATTTACATCCTAAATCCATTCTAAAATACAGACAATATTGTACGGTCGGACCATATTATTGGAAGTTTAAGTTTTCTTTAAAATAATATGAAGTATAATCACGGTCCACATCCCGCTCCGTATGATATGGTCCGTTCGTGTGCTAGAATACGATCCATTCGTGAGACAAAGAGGCCAAAATTGACAAAATGTCAGGAAAAAGTAGGAAACAGAGCGAATTTTGATATTTTGTGAATGGTTAACTATAGGCAACATAATTTCCTATGAATTCATGAAGAAAGCAAGAAAAAAATATCAAGGCTTCATAGGTGAAAATAGGTCGAACATAGACTTTTCACGACAGAATACACTTCAATTGCAATAATTCTTTTATATTACCGTATACATATCTAATTTCGTGCAATTTATAAAGTACATGCATTAATGCGTGCGACTGATAAACAAACATGACGTAATACATCACAAAGTACATGAAAATGTGGTTTAAAACTCGAATAGAAGGATCCGACCCTACCACAGCTAGGATTCGACCAAGTCGTGTGAGGATAATTTTGGGACTCCGACCATGTCCTGTTAATAGTTCCATCTTTTCGTGTTCTTTGCACGACTAATTAATGCCCCAGTGCTAAGATTGATCTCTGAATGGAATAGGTTATCTCCAGTCTATTCCCACCATCTCTTTGTTCAAAAGTAAAATGAAAAACAAATCTTGAAAGTTTAATGACTTCAATACAACTTCTAAACTCTAATCTTTCTCGAAAGCAAGAAATTACCTTGAACAGACTAGAATTAGATGCGGACTCTAATTTGAATCACAAAAGATTACTCATGATTTCCCTAATACAGCTTATCTAATTGTCTGTGGTAAGAGTACAACTCCTAAACACTCGATTATGCAATGTAAGCGCCATTCAACCCAAAGAAAAAACCTTTAAGAAACCCTTGAGCAGCAAAATCTTGAGACCCATCTAACTGAACAAGATAAAACTGAATTTTTAATTTTCAAAAACTCATTTTCAATTGAACAGGATTCTCGATTAAAAGGAAGGCTCGTTGATTTTATTCTTAGCTTGGCCTACCCATTTTATTCTGACATACTTTTCACCATTAAGTTAGAACAATTTTATGTATAACTCACTCAATTAATTTGATTTATGTTCATTCCAAAACGCTAGCCTGTAATGCACATTGCGCTAGGCAGCGACCTGTGTAACTTTTTTACTGCAATATAATTTGAAATAAATGTATAATGAACTGAAAAAAACTTTTCGTGTGAAAAAATTCGACCAATTCGTGTTTTACGTATACAAAAAATATATTCAAATTGGCATGCATATACGATCATTGTATCATATAATTTATTTTTGTATATGCCATCCGTTTCAACATGAACTGGTCTGCTTGGACGACTGGATAATTCATGAGAATAAGTTGGCTTTTGGGGTGTGGATGTCGATGGTAGTTCATTTTTATTTTCGTCTAAATAAGTGTCCGTTTCATTCTGTATCGGCACTTTTAACGACATCTAGAAAAGATAAACAACCATAATTAGCTATTGAGCTTTAATACACTGACTCTAGTGTAATAGATATATTAACTTCCATGGATTTAGTATGGTAACTTTAAAATATGTTCATGGTATTTATTGGTTCTAAACACGACAATATGGAGCTCAAAACACGGTAGGGTCGGAAATGAAACACGGTAGGATCGTAAGAGAAACGCGCGTGGGTCGGATCCATTCAAAACATTTAACCTGCAGAGTCGGATCCTCTTCTAATTTGCTTTTGACCATTTTAAAATCAGTATATACCAAGAAACATTCAATTGGCGTTATTTCATCGATCAATATATACAAAGGCTTCATTTGATTTACATAATATATCACAAAGTAGTATATTTGACACGTAAATGACGATAAGGAAGCAGAAACTCACTCTCTCCGCATGTATGTCGTCACCACAAATAAATCCAATGTTTTTGAGCATTCAAATACTTAGACAACTTTTTTCAATTTAATATTCATACATTTATCAATTTAAATCGCGCAGTATAAATGTAAACTCAAAGAATACTCTAATAATAAAACCCACCTCCGAATTTCCTCCCTATAGAGGCGGTATGGTCGGATCTTGTGCACACGAAAGGACCATATCATACGGAGCGGGATGTGGACCGTGATAATTATGAACGATTAATGAATACCAGGAATACCAAGGATTTTATGCCTAGATGGGTACAGAATTTATGTTTTCAAATTAAATGCTGCCACAATTGTAGGGTCGATTTTACCGTATTTTTGATTATAAGGGTTTTACAGCCAAAAACTGAAAACTGAAAAGCAATGGAATGATTGACATTGGTTGTCATATACAGTTGTCCGCCAAATTGCTTGAGTCGATGATATTTGTTACTTTTTGCCAAGTTATTATATTTACTAAGATTAAATATATTTATTGTCATATTCTTTTAGGAATAGTTGTGAAAGTTACATTGCTGAACTTATCAAGAACTCAAACAGTTAACCTCATCGAAAATATTGAAATACTTGTCCGAACTACCAAAATTGTTGTCACAAATGATGATATACAAGTGAAAGGTGTCATTTTGGAGCGTTCAAAATGGGGAGATAACTTTGAAACAACTTTGCCAAATTATGTCCACGTTAAACTGGAGCCTGATAGATTGCTATTGAATATTTGGAATAAATTGCACATTGATGTGATCAAGTACCAAAGACATATTGGCTTCAATCTGAGAGATGATGAACTCAGAACTGGACATGGATTAATAGGTACAGTGTACTCTTTTTGATGTACTTATATAGATACTTTTACATCGTAGTATATTATTATACAGTTGCATGGATGGGTTTTGGTCTTGTATTAAAGAGAACGTTGATCCCTGGACCAATTTACTGACAACAGTCCTCGAAATATGACAAGAAAGAAGAAATGTGGAGATCTAACTATAAATGTATCCAATTTTTGTTCCAGGTACTATTTCCAGACGATCAAGATTCCAACATACTGTCAGCACCACAGATATGAAAGGTGTAGTGCAGTTTGATGAGCTTTATGGAGATGCAGTCAGGATGGACTGGCAGTCAAGGTGTTATAAACTCGTCAAAAATAAACTTTCTGTTCTGATTAAAATTATGATGCTGAATCGATTTCAGTAATTTCGCCTTCTAAAGCCAAAACCAAGATACTGTATATGATACCAAGTGTAATATATCATCGTCCAAAGTTACGTTGATTGGCATATGCTACCTGTCAACCAATGTCACAAATTGCTACATCGTATCAACTGAGGTAACCATAGACCCCGAAACAGCACTTTGGCGATTTGGCAGGATTTTCAGAAACAGGCATCAGAAAAGTTAAAGGCGCTCACAGATGACGTCAGCATTTGGCAGTGAATTTTTAACTGAAGATAGAGCGTCAGGGATAGCGGGGAAGCCTTTTTGTGGGATGCGAAAAATGTTAACTTTTTGATGTACTGCTGAAGTCATATCCATCTCATTTTGGCGCAATAAAAGCTGCCGGGGAAGGGCAATCATGAAAATATAGGTATACTTGAGAGTAGGTGCGTTAATGTAATTTGTGGATGATCTTTTAATGGTATATCACACTAGGTACCAGCTATGAAGGTTTTAGCTGGGGGCAGGACTTATCTGACACCCTGTACAATGTGTTATCGAAGTTATGGCAAAATATCTCGTAAAATCAAAAAATGTACGCCACTATCGACTATTATTGCAGAAAAATCATGCGTATTATAAAAATTTATAACAGATAATAATAAATTGCTATTATAATTCATATTAATTAACCCTTCATAAATAAACGTTAGTTCAAACCGTTCTATATTCACTTTTCGGGAAATAACAAGATAAATGTAACTAGACATGTAAATTGAACAAGTTCAATTAAAGACTTTTTTTAAGCTGAGTCATCCAGAATACTTGTAAGCTGAGTCATTCAGAATAAGCCGAGTCAGCTAGAATAAAGACATTTAGACAACTCTTAAGAATGTTATCTTCGACTCCATTGGCTTAAAATGGGGATATCATCATATCGACTTTTCGAGACTTCAAACCGCTATAACTATCTAACCAGAAGTTGGATTGAAATTTAGTTTAAAGATTCAGATTCCTGAGAAAATTCTACCCTTAATTCATAACTCAAACATTAATTTTGGAGAACTCTCATTTTGACCTACTTTTCGGACACCATATCTCAAAAGTGGGTCAAAATACTTTCTGACGGCAAAAGGCTAAAACTATTAACACACTCTTCGTGAACTGTATACACAATTTCGAAGCAAATCATTAAAGTGTAATGTCAGAATCGCAAAAATAAGGAAAAACTATGAATTTGACCTAGATTTTGACATAGGCATTTTGGTGTCCAAATTTTAAAGCTAGATAGCCTTCAGGTCCCCTTCTTTCATAGGCTTTCAGAATGTTAGGCTGTACTCAGTCTATATCTGGTATTTTACACTTCAAAAAAATATTTTTTCTCATTGACATAACATGGGACACCAAATTTAGCGATTTTTGAGCGATTTTTTCATCATGTTCTTTGGAAAAAACGCTAATTCCGTAAGGCAAATTGTTTTTTGATTACTCTTACCGATTTTGAGATATGGCGTCCGAAAGGTAGGTCAGAACAGTAAGTTCTTCAAATTCAACAAGTGAGTTATGAAATAAGTGTAGAATTTCCCAGGAATCTGAATCTGCAAACCGAATTTCGATTCGACTTCCGGTTCGGAAGTTATGGCGTTTTGAAAGCTCAAAAATCGCTAAATTTGTGTCCAATGTTAAGTCAATGGAAAAAAGATTTATTTGAAGTGTAATATACGAGATATAGACTCAGTACAGCTTAATATAATGATAGCCTTTTAAAGAAGGGGACCTCAAAAGCCAACTAGCTTCAAAATCTGGACAGCAAAATGTCTAGGTCAAAATGTAGGTCAAATTCATAGTTTTTCCTTATTTTTGTGATTCTGTTACTGTACAACGTGACTACAGTATATGTGTCCATGTCCATGAGCGTGTGGTTATTGATTGCATGACGTCTATGCTAGCAGGCCTAGACCTCGTGCAGTCGTGCACGTGTGATGATCTATCAGATCTAAACTGATTGATTGCGCGTAAAATTGAAATAGTATACACGCCCATATCACTATACCGGAGATAGGTCGTCGCGGGTTTTATAACTGATCCGTATGGTTTGCCAACCTACCATATGTAAGCACGCGTTGTTTACGAGTGTGTAGGCGTTAATTACGCCCGTGCAGACGTAATTTACGCCCGTGTAGGAGTTAATTACGCCCCTTAAGAAGTGAATTCTATACGCGTTAACTGTAAAACAAATACAGGCGTAAACAAACGGCGTTAAAATGTTCAATAGATTATTTAACACGTGTTGAGAAACATCTATACGCCCGTCGAGTTTATTTTAGCGCCGTTAATTATGAACAACGCGTGCATACTTTGGGTGGGTAAGCCAACCATAGATCCGAGAGGCTACACAACGTGTTCAGTCTCGTGGTAGGATGGGGTCTGAATGGTACCTGTGTTAAAGGGGACCACCACCATGGTCACATGATCAGTCGTGTGGAGGTAAGCTCCCAGTTGAAATAAAAGTACTGTCCTCCTTTGGTTTATGTGAAAAGTAGCTAATACCCTCATGTATTGGTCAGTCTGTGTGTCACACGACTAATCCACACCATATGCTTCATTCAACATATTTTATGCTATTAAGCTGCATATAAAAACACTACTTTGCAGTAAAAACGTACTACTGGATGAACTAAGGTTAGGGTAATTAAATTAGTTGTTTCTCATTCGTTGCCCGCGTGTGGCCCAATCCCCCTCCACCTTTTTTCTGCCATTTCTGAGAAAAAAACACCGTACCTCGCGCGCATCCATGGCGTGTGAAACACTTTTTTTTACTTTTTATTGATCAGGATAATTGACAATATCGTGGTACTGATATATGATCAAATATACCAGTAAAGTAGGCTAAATTCAACATATAAATTCAACTTAAACTCAGTTCATTTCCTTCAAAATTAGTTATTTGTTTTTACAGTTGTTTTAAAGAACAAAATCATCCCGTCCCTCATCAGCATTTTAGATAGACAAAAAAGGTAATATAAAAACCGTCATTCCCGTATCAATTTTGAAAAATAGAAGAAAGAGAAACAACTAATTTAATTACCCTGGCCTAACATAAATTACAAAGCCACTAGCTAGCTCATACAGTATACTTACACCTTGCAAATTGTAATTTATTGAATTCACAGTAAACCCATCAATTTAAAAAAAAGAATATTGTTCTCATGGATCTATTATTCATGTTAAACTAACTATGAAAATATAAATATGAAATAATATATTAGCTTGAAGTCATATATAAGATGAAAATATATGTTCATGCATTTGCATTTTTCCAAAGGGATATTCCCCAATATATAATTTATATGTATATCTATGTCATCTGTCTATACATGCGCGTAAAGTGATACATTTGAACAAGATGATGGTTCTGGAAAGAAATGAGCGTGGCAGATTTGCTAAAAAGCCACATACACCACAAAAGCAAGACCAATTTGAAAGTAAGTTCATTATTCTCAAGGGTACACTTCAAGTGAAAGCTACATTGCTACAGGGTGGCCTATCATTCTGAGACAAATGTATTATCCAACGATTGTGATTTTCGAAGCTAAAATATAATATCTTGAGTAGATGGAAATACATTCCCATGAGATATGTACAGGGTGGTCCAAAAAAAAGTGAACCCCTGCAACAGGCTACATTTTTCTTAATACATGCATGAATTGGCTCATATTATCACATGTTGTAGAGAAAGGTCTAAAATTTTGGATGATTCCATAATTTATTCTCAGTCTTAAATTTTGAAGAAATTACAAGCGTTTAACAAACATGCCTGGAAATTAGATATTGTACAAAATTTTACAAATGTGATTCACGGAAATTGTTGAAACACATTGGATGATTAAACAGCTTTCAGTTAGAGATACAAGTTTAAAACCCTACCATATGACAAAGGGGACACCATTCAAGCAGAAAACACATTTAACACTTTCATTGATCATTTTGAAGCATTTTTAACTGTTCAACAGTTCAGGGGTATGTTACCTTCACCAACAGTTAGAGGGGGCCTCTTATGGAAGGAAGTTGCCCCCTGTGACCAGGAATCTGATAACCCCTTCATCAAATATCTTTAAAAAATCAAAAGAAAATTCAATATTCAATGTTTTGAGCCATATATCATTAGAATTGGTCCATGATTTATGAAGATATTGACATTTCAAGATCATATAGGGGTATGTTCATGATTTCACTGGAAAATGTTTTCGTCTGTGGAAGCTTGGCACATCTCTTTGGATCACAATAACTTTGCAACTAACAAATATAGAATGCTTGTTTTAAGCCATAATGTGCAGGATTTAAAATTGAGCAAGGTCAGAAAATATAAGTTCTTTAAGACTGCAGCTTAAAAAATTCTCAGGGGAAAGGTGTTAAAGGGTTGAAGAATCGCGGATATTGAAAATCACAATTTGTCCATTTTCAGTAATGTTTGGTTAGGGCTTATAATTTCTGCAAATTTCAAGACTAAGAAAAATGTATGGTACCAACATTAATTTTAGACCTTCCTCTACAACATGTGAAAATAAAAAAGAATTCCTGCAAGTAATAAGGGAAATATGGCCAGTTGCAGGGGTTCACTTTTGTTGGACCACCCAGTATATATAGTCAAAAGTGATAACTATTTATTGAGTGTAATGAAATGTATCCTTCGCCAACTGCTTTTGTTTGAGATGATTATCATGAAATATTTTTAAATTAATTTTTATGTGTGTCATTGATCCTTATCCACCCTGTAGTCTGGTGTTTGTAGAGCATTGCACCTCGTACAACTTATTCTCACAAATATCAAACCTCATTTACTAATTAATTTTTTGTGTGAATATGAAGAGTCCAAGCATTGCTTTTAAAACAAAATCTCACCGTTAGATTTCGAGCTATTCATGTTTACTCATTTTTCTAATTGGAAAACAATGCAAATCTCATTTTTTCAAAGGGAAAAAATTGAAATTCTAAGACGGTGAAAAATCATTAAAAAACATACAGATTCGGAATCCGGCAAGCATTTTCCCTTATTCCTCTCCGTTAAGAAGTTTTGTAAGGTGTTGGATCCCTTTACTGAATGAGCCTATGTTTCGGTCAGTAACCACACTGAAAACCCCGTCGGATCCATCGGTAAGATTTTGCCAAGTAG